GGTTGGACTAGATGATCTCCTGAGGTCCCTTCCAACCCTTACGATTCTGTGATTCTGTGATTGTATAATTTTAAATTTTTTTAATGTGTGCTACAACAGCAGCATGAGTAAGGTTGTTTTCTCATTCAGAAAATAAAATACTGATATAGGTGGCACAATTATAATGAATTTTTGTCAAAATGTAATTATGAGAGCTAACATAGAAATTACCTAGTTCAGACTCTACTGTAGAGTGTACTGTAGAGCAAACTGATAGAAAGTAACTGGCAAGAGACATTAAGGAATTACCAATATTTTAAATTATGAGCGGTAACTTTTACATTGCACTGTTTTCTAAACCTGATTTTTTAAATAAGCAGCTTTTCAGTTGATACGATGCCAACTGATTTTAATACAGACCCTTTTCTATTCTTCTTTTTTATTATTGATTAGAATCAAAGCATTTCGAACCCTCCAAGAAGCTCTCAAGTGCAACTATGAGCACTGGCAAATATGGGAGAACTATCTTCTCACTAGTACAGATGTTGGAGAGTTTTCAGAAGCAATTAAAGCTTATCACCGGCTCATGGACTTAAGAGAAAAGTACAAGGATACACAGGTGGGGAAGTTTTCATGTTAAGTCATCCTATATGTTCATTAATTTTTCTTGTGAGACAGAAAGAGATTTCTGCTAATAAAGGTATCTGTAATGATGGTACACATAAAAGTGAAGTTATGTAGGCAAGACATTTAATTTTTTGAGGTCTGGACTGTAAGACTAAGTGTCTAAAATAAAAGGACAAAAAGTAAAATTTTTGCGTCAGATTGCCTCAGACTTTGTGGGAGGACAGATATGAGCCTTGCAGTTTTAAGATCTGTTCTTAAATAAAACCCAATGCATAACCTCATCTTTCCATGTTGTTCCTGTATATCTCAGTATCAGGAATAATATAAGTTATTTAAAGAAAGGTAGACTTTTCCCATGTGTTTGAAAATTCCACAAATGAGCCTATGAAAGTGAATTATGTTTCATAGATTGAATGCGTTACAGTCAGAACATTGATACTTAATAATCGGAACAAAGAAAAATAAGGGAGTTATTTTGCTTATCTTTCACTGTAGTTCAGTTAACTTCTGTGCTTGTAAATGTACGCTCTGGATAAAATCTAGAGAGCCTACTTTAACAGCTTCAGCTGGGATGTTACCTTGCCTAAAACCAGGTCCGCATCCAAGCAGGGTTCTGTATGCTCAATGAAAATAGACAGATGAATCTGAAAGGCAGGCCAAAGAATCCCTTAAGCAGAGTAGTGAAACACCTCCAAAAGTCTTTGCAAAATTACAGGATCTGCTTGAACAGCTTCTGAGCTCTTAGGGAGTTTGTGTGGAGTACCAGGGTAAGAGGACCCAGCTGCTGCTGGGCATTGATCCCCGGAGTATGTTTGTTTTCTTGTTCCACAAAATGATTAAAAGTAGCTTTCCTGGATCTTGGGAATTTGAGTCCAGTGATGAGGAGAGAGAACGAACAGAATTAATTATGGTTGTGGAAGCATCTCATTTGTTAATGGGGGGCAGGGATCTTAAAAACTCTTTTCAGAATACTTTTTTAATAACAAATTGTACATGAGTACAATACTTACTACGATAGAGCCAACCATGCATTCTGTATGAATAAAATCTTTTGCATTCGACATGGCTGAACATTAAAAGATCTCAAACTCTCTTTGCACTAACAAGTATCTATGGAAAATAGTCTTATATATGGCAAAGATTAGCGTGTTTGGCAGCCACAGTATTGTGGTACTAGTGGGACCTGTGTGTTTATTCAACATCTTGTAGATGGTTGGCACTTTTTAATGGGTTTTGTCTCAATTATTAATTTAATCAACATTTTTAGGAGTGATCTACTGTATTATTTTAGTCAGATCAGCAGCTGACCGGGAACAGAACTTTCTACATATATTTGTCCTTTTTAGGTATTTTGAGATGATACAGACTTCTATTAGTGTGTTTTGTCAATTTTTATGTAGGATATTTTATCAAAATATTTAGGGATATTGCTTGCACTAAATTTCTATTTTTGTTATATAACTCTTTTTTTCCATCTTGTTCTCATACAACTTTTCTCGTTTGTACAGAAGTATATATATGCTATGTATCCTAAACTTTTTTTTGCATCCTAATTTTAACTGTGGCTGCTGATACGTAAAGTGCTTTATGGGTTCCATCATAACTTCTAATACAGTTTCCTCAATTAGAAGGATTTTACTAGTTGGCCAAGAAAAACCTCAGAGAGTGATTAAAGAACTTCAGAAAGGCTTTAATCAATAATCTGACAAGGAAGAGTATTCCCATAGCAAAACAACAAAAAGAAGCACATAAAACTAAAAGCTTCTGCTGAGATTGTTTACAAAGCTCACCATTAATTTCTGGGCCTCTCCCATTTGCCAGCTGGCCTGTTTTAAATAGAGATGGTCTATAAGCCTTTTGTGCAATTGCATTTTAACAAAGTAAAATCATGAGCATGAGTAAGTGGAAGCATACTCTTCTGTTTCCATGCAACATAGTATGATCTTCTCTCAGGTTATATTTAGCATTTGTAGTCATCGTAGATTTTAATTGATAGCTACTAAGCTAAATGATATAGTGTGAGAAAGAAGGTAGGAATTTAAAAATCCAGAAAAATAAATTTGCACAGGACTGGAAGAAGCAAGTTGAGTCATTGATTCCGGTTCTTTGTGAAAACAGAAAGCCGATCGATCACCAATCACTTAGCATAATCGTTATTGCAGAATACCCCTTATGAGACTGAATGCATCAATTAAGAGTGTGCAATTGAATAATAATTTGAAATGCCCTTGGTTTGTGTAGTTACATCATTTTTTTTAATTTTATTTTATTTCAGCATAGTATGAAGTCATATTCATAAATCACTAATTTCTTCTAATAACAGTAAGGCATTCGTATCTTCATCTGTGATTTCTGTTAGGCCATTGCTGTCTTTTCGTGCCAGACTTCTGAATACAGAATGTAGCTTTGGGAAATTTTGCTTCTAAACTATTCTAGTTATTTAACGATGTCATCCTTGTGGCAGAGGTTCTGAGATCAGGATATCATGAGGCTTGAAGATATGTATGTACAGATTCTGCAGACAGAATTGAACAAGGAAAAGCCGAAGGCTTCTTTATAAATGAGCAACAACGCAATAAAAGATTACAGCAAACGACATATTTTGAAAAGTCTTGGTTTCCTAGTATTCCCCTTAAAAGTTATAAGCATGCTTTCTTGCCTTCCTTTCTCGCTGGTTCTTAAAATTCTTCAAATTTACATATTCCTTTTAATGTCCATGAACCTACTGAGAAATATACCCTGAAAACCTTTAATATAGATGTTATGTAGTAAAAGATAAAGGCTCGCTGATTTATCTGTAGTTTCAGCTACTAGATCAGTCATTTAAAAGGACCAGAGGAGAAATTACCTGTTGTAATCATCAATTTAGCCTCTGAATTATTAGTCTGAGGTGGTAAATATACCCAAAAGATTTTTGCAACTGCTAATCACCTTACTTTGCACCACATGCATGTTTGTGGCGGCAAGCAATCTTTTCTTACTTGGAAAGTGGCAGTTCAGTGAATAACAAAGTTATTTTGTGGGTGGAAAAGCTGTATTGCCACATTGCTTTCAGAAACCAGAAGCTACATTGCTTTCATCCTGCGCTGTCAAAGAATATGAATTCAGAAGTATGGATAAATGGTTCCTCTCTGCAATTCTGTGTTCTTGAGAATCTGGCAAAATTTTTCTGTTACCCTTTCCATCAAATATTGCCAGTTTGTTTCTAATAAAAGGCTGCAAGAGCATGTTCCAAGGGGATTTTGAGGAACAAGGGTAGGAATTAATTTCTGGAGCTCTCTTTCTTTTAAGTAGCTCACTAATGATAATTGTCTTTTATTATGAAGCTTTAATTCAGGAGGGGCATGAAGAGAGCTCATAGACTGCAGATGTGTCATTTGGGATCTGGTGTCTGAGGGTTCTCTCCTTACTTGAGCACTGTCAAGTTTGATTAGTATTAGTGAAGCTTCTAAAAATGGTTTGACCAAGTGAATTTTTATATGAAAGGAACTGTTTGGAGAACGCTTCTGGAATGAGATTAACTGACAGCAATCGCAGCATTTAAAAATGTTTGGGTTTGTTTCTAAGGTTTTGTCCAATGGTGGGTTTTGTTCACTTCAGTAGATACACGTTATTCACAAAAGTAAAGGAGAAGGAGGAATGCAGATGGTGTGATGTCATACTAAACACAAACTCTCTGCACAGCAGTCATATGGACCCCAGTTTGTTAAAAGAGGCATTAAAAATAAATAAATAAATAAAAAGCTCTACTGCTTGTGTGGGATCCTAGGCAACAGAGATTGCGTTAGTAGTTTAGCATGTATGGCAGTTTAAAAATATCTCAAAGATATAAATTAAAATTTAACACTTAACCACCTAAAATAGAAAGCTGTGTTACACTGCTAATGCTTTTTGATAATTAGCACGATTCCCTTGCAATTTGAAATAGCTTTATTTAACAACCGGGCACAGCCAAGTAGTGTTAATGATTCATTACTGTTTAATGGACCCTTTAATCCGGGCATTCACACTGGTTTTATTTTAACCGCTGTAGTGCTAAAGCTTACATGATGAATTACAAAACAAAAAGGAGATAGATTGTTATGATGAAAGTGTAAGCAAAGCCTGAACTTTATGGGAACACGGGTAATTTTTCAGTCGCTAAATTCTACTGACTGAGGAAACTCGGGATTTTTTTCATGTGCGAACAAAATCTCATTGGCTTTAAAACTCTTGATAACTCTACATGATATTCATGTGAACCAATTTTTTGGACTTTGAGTAACAATTTTGTTAAACTGAGACGTTGATTAAGATCTCACACATGTACATGTGAATCCTCAGGACCAGATCTAGTTCCTTTTCAAATGAGAACATAGTTTAATGTTTTTTCTTACACCTCTCATGTTTTTTATTGCAATGCTGTAGTAATGGAAATATCAATAGTTGCTGGTGGTTTTCTATACAGTGATTATAGAAGACCTGATTCATTTAATGCTGGGGTTTAGTCCCTTAGACTTCAAATCACGAATGCAATATGAATTTCAGAACCTCCTGACTATTAATAGTTGATCATATTTTCTGTTATCTTAAGTGAAAATCCAAGCTCTTTAATGGAAAAGAAAAGAAAGAACAGCCGGTTTGTCATCTCATTTTATAAGGGCTATACTGTTACAGTTCAGGGCGGAGGAGGGGGGAGTTGTTAGCTGATGTTCAGATGTTGTTATGATTTCATATTGATTCTGAAAAGATACCAGAGAGATGTGTACTTTTTTTTCCACTTTTTATGTTACATAGATTCATTTCATAACATCATCAGCCACTTTATTTGGTTATTTTTGCCAAAGATTTCCTTTATCTGATAAAACTCAGTAATTAATTCTTGGGATGCTTGTTCATTGAGTCATTCTATAGAAGAACAATTATTTTAGGAAAATGACATATCACAAATACTAAATTGCATTTGTTTTTATTTTAAGTGTATTATACCTTGATACTGTCATAATTTTTTTATTACTGTCTGCCACTGAACTCCATCTTAGTTTGTCAGGATGCACCTCTGGCCTGCTTCTACTAGAGTAGCGGTATATTTGTGTGGTTTGGGGCTACTCACAGATAATCTTTGAATTTTTTTTTTTATTACTGTCTTTATTAATATTGCTATTGATGTGATTTCATTGTAAAACTAATATCACATGGACAAAAATGTTGAAGCATTAAAGCTGCCAAATGATAGCCTCACAAGTTAGGAAGTGCCAGCATGAAGATGTTTGTATATCCTTTACCGACCTATCTTGAATGCAAGCCTTATGAGACTTCCATTTTGGTTTTATCATTATTTCTTCCCCAGCCTCTGTGTCTCGTGCACTACACAGAACAGGTATTTCTCACTTAATAAGCCACAGCTCTTCTGGATTTTTTCTTCTAATTCACCATACAATCCAATGTCTTAATTTACATTTGCTGTTTCTCATGTTATTGAGAAGGAACTATGGCACGGTGAAACTGTTTTCTAATTTTCAGCGTCCAGTTTAGGACACAAAGGCCCATGTTTGTTTCTGGGACACCTGGTATTATGTAGCATTTCCTACATGCAAAGCCCAGCTCCCATAGAGTTCACCAGCAACTGCATGTGCTCAGCATTTCTGCAGGTCAGATCCCACATTCTCAAGCCAGTGACTCAGAAAGTACAGCCATTAGATGAGTATTTGTAAAAAGTTTGATTGAACTGACTTGACTAGTAATTCACCAGAAGTGCTCAGAGTTTCCCAAGGCAGCATTCTGTTGCCTTCCAGTTTTCATCTCATCTACTATACATCTTTCAGGCAGGTAGTTAAAGAGTTCCTGTAAACAGCAGTGTCTTCCATTACCTGCATTAATCTGGTTCAGCCTGTTTACTGATCTTTTGATACTGGTATTATAAGGTGAAAATATCTTTAGGATGCTGCCGCAATTTCCTATACCATTCTCTTTCACACTAGCCTGTCCCGGTAACCCAAATTTCTCTCTCAGCTCTTTGGCTTCCTCATCTTCACCAACCATAGAATCTTATAGATGAGGTTTAAATTAGTTGAATTACTCCCCTAATATTGCATTTCTTAGTAAATTCTATACTTTCTTATGGTACTGTATTTGTATTTTACTGAATTGCTCATAGAGACCAAAAATTACAGATATCATCATATATACTATGTCGATCTGAGTTGAAATGAAACCTTTTTCCTGCTGCTTTTTTAAGGTGCTGGCTATTCTGGTCAGAGCGGTAGTGGATGGTATGGCAGATCGCGCTGGAGAGGTAGCGAGTGGATTGAAGGGGAAATTGCAAGAGCTCTTGGGCAGAGTGACTTCACGAGTGACAAATGATGCGGAGATCTGGAGACTTTATGCACAACTTCATGGAAACGGACGGAATGGTAGTGGTGAAGATATTGAAAAGGTAAATGTGTCGTGAGGTATACTTCTTTATGGGTACACGCTTCCGATACAAACCTTCTGTTCTCTAACTATAGCGCTATAGTAAGACATGCTCTTGTTCCAGATGTGTTTTGCTTTAGTGTTTCTGGAAGCTTACTTTGTGCTTTTCATGTTGCTACAGCACACGTTTCTATTATCTAATAGGAGTGAGGTGTTTTACATCAGTTTTTCTGGATTTTTTTAAGAATACATCTCATCAATATTTAATTGTAGAACATCCTATCACAGCATATGTGCATTGCCTTGGAATTGTATTCTGAAACTTTTCTTGGCAGCAATCCAATGGCTATAATCTAATGGTGGTTGTTGCTTTTTTAAAATTGGAATCTTTGATTCTGAAGACAAGTTGTTGCAGCTTCTGGAAAAGACTGGATTTTAATGGCGTGATCCAGTGGCATCATAAGCCATCTATATTCTTCTTTGCAATCACTGAGGGAAAATGCATTTGATAGTCTATACCACAGTTAGTGTTTCCAAAGTAAATGTGCTTTGTCCTTACTTAGCTTAAAATGGAATTAAATAATGCTATTTAATTCTTAATCTGTTGAACCATTGGTTTCTCTTTACCCGTCTCTGGTTTTGCTACATTAACTTCTATCTCTTATTCTTATCACTTCCCAGGTAGAGTTGATTGCATTTCCAAAATAACATTTCCAAAATAAACACTGCGCTGCCAAAAGTGTTTACTTTGTTGTAATCTGAAGTGTGCTTTGCATTTGGTATTAACTTTCCAAAATTCAAATAGCCTTGCACGCTCCAAAAATACTTACGGGTTATCAGATCTTCACTGAAGCTGAAAATACACGAGGTCAGATTCAGTATGTGTTTCCTAATGCGGGTGTGCCTTTGGCCTGGGCAAAAATGTCAGTCTGAAGGATTACTTGTCGCTTGATATCAAGTATATTGTGCATATAGTTGGGCCTACAAATTGTATGCCTGTGGGATTAAATTTACAATTATTTGGGCCTTGCTCGTTGTCTTCCTCTTTACGCTTTGTCCTGTGAAATAGCTTGGTTAGTTATTGCTGGTGTCCGTTATTATACCTCCGATTCCTCCCTTTTTTCCTTCCGTATTTTTCTTTACAGCTGAACAATAAAAGAGATTTGGCCTATTTAGAATTCAGAAATACAGACACTGCAATATCCTGTAATATATCCTCAAATTCTTACTCAGACAGGCAAAGTAGCAGAGGCCCTGTCTATACTATAAATGTAATCGTTTCAGAATCTGGTTACATCACAGTATTTTTCACTAACCCAGTTAAAAAGATGGTTTCAATTTGTAGAGTAGACAGGACTTTAACTGTGTTTCCTAATCAGACTGGTTATGGAACATGGTCTAGCTTGTCCTGCAAAATGGAATGATGTTTTTAAATACTTAAGGTGTGCTTACATGTGTATCCAAGTATCCTGGTACCATAGATATAGATCATGAAAGAGCAAAACTGAGTACAGACACAGTGTAAAAATTAATTTTCAATATACTAGATAATCACTGGTAGCTTTTCTGATACCATCTTATAAAGTAAAAATGTTAAAAATGGTATTTATTGGCTTCACTGCCACAAGCACCGTCATGTGTCTGTCACATATTATGTCAATATAACTATCTGTAGAAGAATTCTAGAGGTATCGTTGCAATTTTCCACCCATATTTACTATGCAAAAGGTCAATGAATTCTGAAAGGGCATTATTTACTATATTGTGGCATCATATGACAAAGAGATGGGAACAGATCTCTGTGTCACGTACAAAATGTAGGGTTTGACCTTTATTCCATAATGTTACACCTTATTTAGTGCAGATTTAATTATATTTAACCAATTTTGTTCCTAACATTGCATTTGAAAGAACAACCTTGTATGTCTGGCTACTGCAAAGGGTGGATTGGTTGTTGGGTTTTTTACCTTTCTGTTCTGCTGCCGTATCTGATGCCATGAATCACTAGAGTCTACAGTTACAATTCACAACAGTGCTTTGTAAATTGAATCAAAGTCAGACAGGAGTGTAAAACTATTGAGGTGTTGGGTTTGTGGGGTTTTTTCTTTAGCTTAGCATATATTTACTCTTACACTTTTATGCATCCGACCTGCCACCTCATTCAGTACTTCATTCTTTCCTATGCTGAATGCAGTCCAGTCCACCCCTTTCCCACTGAGGAATCTTTCCAACCTTCAAGTTTCCTGCT